ACCGTGCTGCTGCCATCCCTGGTGGTCCAGTGGTGAGTGAACTCTACCCCTGCAGCCTACATAGAAACATAGAATGTGACGGCAGATAAGAACCATTCGGCCCATCTAGTCTGCCCAATTTTCTAAATACTTTCATTAGTTCCTAGCCTTATCTTATAGTTAGGATAGCCTTATGCCTATCCCACGCATGCTTAAACTCCTTTACTGTGTTAACCTCTACCACTTCAGCTTGAAGGCTATTCCATGCATCCACTACCCTCTCAGTAATGTAATACTTCCTGATATTATTTTTAAACCTTTGTCCCTCTAATTTAAGACTATGTCCTCTTGTTGTGGTAGTTTTTCTTCTTTTAAATATAGTCTTCTCCTTTACTGTGTTGATTCCCTTTATATATTTAAATGTTTCTATCATATCCCCCCTGTCTCGTCTTTCCTCCAAGCTATACATGTTAAGATCCTTTAACCTTTCCTGGTAAGTTTTATCCCGCAATCCATGAACCAGTTTAGTAGCTCTTCTCTGAACCCTCTCTGAGCTATCAATATCCTTCTGAAGATACGGTCTCCAGTACTGTGTACAATACTCCAAGTGAGGTCTCACCAGTGTTCTGTACAATAGCATGAGCACTTCCCTCTTTCTACTGCTAATACCTCTCCCTATACAACCAAGCATTCTGCTAGCATTTCCTGCTGCTCTATTACATTGTCTGCCTACCTTTAAGTCATCAGAAATAATCACCCCTAAATCCCTTTCCTCAATTGTTGAGGTTAGGACTCTATCAAATATTCTGTACTCTGCCCTTGGGTTTTTACGCCAAGATGCATTATCTTGCACTTATCCACATTAAATGTCAGTTGCCACAATTCTGACCATTTTTCTAGTTTACCTAAATCATTTGCCATTTGGCTTATTCCTCCTGGAACATCAACCCTGTTACATATCTTAGTATCATCAGCAAAAAGACATACCTTACCATCAAGACCTGCAATATCACTAATAAAAATATTAAAGAGAATGGGTCCAAGTACAGATCCCTGAGGTACCCCACTGGTGACAAGTCCAAGCTTCGAATATATTCCATTAACTACAACCCTCTGTTGCCTGTCACTCAGCCACTGCCTTACCCATTCAACAATATTGGAATCCAAACTTAAAGATTGCAGTTTATTGATAAGCCTTCTATGTGCAACAGTGTCAAAAGCCTTACTGAAATCTAGGTAAGCAATGTCTACTGCACCACCCTGATCTATAATTTTAGTTACCCCATCAAAAAAATCAATAAGATTAGTTTGGCATGATCTCCCTGAAGTAAACCCATGTTGTCTCTGATCTTGAAATCCATGTGTTTTTAGATGTTCAACAATCCTATCCTTTAACATGGTTTCCATCACTTTCCCCACTACTGAAGTAAGGCTTACTGGCCTATAGTTGCCCGACTCCTCCCTATTACCTTTCTTGTAAATGGGCACAACATTTGCTAACTTCCAATCTTGTGGCACAATGGGCACAACATTTGCTAACTTCCAATCTTGTGGGACTACTCCTGTTAACAATGATTGGTTAAATAAATCTGTTAATGGTTTTGCTAGTACACCACTAAGCTCTTTTAATAGCTATGGGTGTATTCCATTGACCTATTTGTCTTTACTTTTGACAGTTTAAATAGAACCTCTTCCTCTGTAAACTCACGTGTAATAAATGACTCATTTATCCTTTTTCTCAACCGAGGTCCTTTTCCTTCATTTTCATCTGTAAATACAGATCAAAAATATTAATTGAGGCAGTCTGCTAGACCTTTATCCTCTTCTACATACCTTCCTTCTTTTGTTTTTAATCTAACTAATCCTTGTTTTACTTTTCTTTTCTCATTTATGTATCTAAAAAATGTTTTGTCCCCCTTTTTTACCGACTGTGCTATTTTCTCTTCTGTGTGTGATTTGGAAGCTCTTATAACTTGCTTAGCCTATTTCTGTCTACTCTTATAGATCATTTTGTCTTCCTCACTCTGTTTTTTTTTATAATTCCTAAATGCTAACTTTTTGTTTTTAACCGTTTTGGCCACATCTGCGGAGTACCACAGTGGTTTCTTGAATATTTTGCTTTTACTGACAAGCCTAACGCAATTTTCTGTTGCCTTCAATAGTGCAACTTTTAAATAATCCCATTTCTCTTGGACTCCATTTAAATTGCTCCAGTCTGATAATGACTCCTCTACACATATTCTAATTTTAGAAAAGTCTGTTTTTCTAAAGTCTAAAACTTTTGTTTTTGTTTGGTGTGACTCAATCACTGTTCTTATATTAAACCACACTGACTGATGATCACTGGATCCTAAACTTTCACCTACAGTAATATCTGATACCAAATCTCCATTTGTTAACACTAAATCTAGTATGGCCTCTTTACGAGTTGGATCTTCAACAACTTGTTTTAGAGACAATCCCAGTAGTGAGTTTAGGCTGCGGGGCTAGAATTCACTCTCGCGTGATCTGAGCGTTGCCTCTCCTGCCTGTGGGTCGGTGAGGTAGATCTTTGATGAGGGAGGCACATAGAGCGGGCCGCAGGGATTAGGGTGTGCACGCCTATGCCCATGATGCACTGCCTTTAGAAAGTGGGGGGAGGGGGAGATTAATACATTTATTTTATTTGTTTTCTTTTATTGATTTTATTTAATAGCTCTAACTCTGTGTCTCCGTCCTTAAGGGGTTAATAGCTCTGACTCTGTCATTAAGGGGATAGTAAATAGCTCTGATTCTCTGTGTCTCGGTCATTAAGAGGTTAATAGCTCTGACTCTCTGTGTCTCTGTCACTAGTTACAGCTTGTGAATACTATTTACAGACAAGGTTGCATTTGAGACTGAATAATAGTTCTACTTTAGATATATTATATAAATATAAAATAGATATAACACTATAAAAATGTGTCTTTTTTGTCACATTTAATCAAACAGATATACAATTATGAGGGTATAATCAACTGGATTTGTTGATGATCAGAAGAGACCATAATGTGGTTACAATGTCAATCTCTGCCTAAAAAGGTGTAAATTACTAAAAATGCAGACAATGTATTTACTATGGCAAATAATTGTATCAGAAACAATCATCATTTCTCGGATTTATGACTGGAACTCTTAATTCATTAAAATAAATCTTTGTCTTACTTAACCCCTTAAGTCTACACTATGTGTCTCGACCCCTCGAGGCACACAGCACACAAGCACAGCATCCGAAGCCTGCACGAAGGCTTCCGAAGCTCTGCTACACTGGCGGGTGCCACATGGGGCAATCAGGAGAGAAAATGCAGGATGCCTCGACATTGAGGCATTGCTGCAATACTCTTAGAGCGGCTGGAAGAGATCACGATCGCTTCCAGCGCTCATATTTGCCTTAGGGACCGTTTTTTGTCGGGTCTCCTGGACACAGAGGCGCCTGGGCGGGATCTGTGTGTAAAGAATGGAGACCCCATGCTGCTGGTCTGTGCATAAAAGGCTGCATTCTGACCAATAAAACAAGATTTCTCCCCAAAGTATGTCTCGTTGAGTTACTTAGGGAACAGAGCTATATTCACAAATGGTTCCATTTTTAGCTGAGAGGATAATTTAGCAGAGGTAACCAGTCGGGTTAACAGTAGTCCGCTACAAATCGGCTATAGCCTCTTTTATTTTGGAGAGAAAATATCCTAGAGTGGCTAGACACTTCCTGATTCATCCTAGATATTACAGTGCCCTGGTCTTTCCTCCATTTAGCAATACTATTGCTAAAATTCACACTTGCCATTAGAGTGAGGTGCTGGGCAGACTTGGAATCTGACCTCCCACAACTCAACTCCTGATATGGTGTCCTAACTCAGGGATTCTCTAATATTTCGTGTTCTATGGGACAGATTAGAGATCCTTTACATTCTCATGTCTCCTATCTCTCCCATATCTCCAATACGTCTTTTTTTTTTTTTTTTCTCCTGGTCTAGCGACCTCATCATTTAGGACAGGGTTGGGCAATCTTCAGCCCTCCAGATGTTTTGGACTACATCTCCCATAATGCTCTGAGGGCCATAATGCTATCAAAAGCATTAAGGGAGATGTAGTCCATAACATCTGGAGGACTGAAGATTGCCCACCCCTGATTTAGGGGGTAGGGTGGAGTCAGAATTTAGAGAAACTGCAACTTGTTTGACAAAATTATTCCATAACCTAGTAATGAGTATAAATAAAATAGAAGACTTGGTGTAAAGTAGTGTTGTGGGTATAGCATCTTCCCACATCTAACTGCTTAAGTAAAAATACTGGCCGAAGATCCTTGTCATGACGCATCATCCAAAACCGGACCTGTAAAACATAATTGTATGATGCTTGTCACCAATGCTAGCTCCCTCTTCCTTGGTACGACCAACTCCTCCTTTTTTATCCTGTTTCTGACTAATGGCGACCTAATGACACTGCCAAAGGTGAACTTACATTTCCAGCAGCCATGGGAATAGACGCAGCATTTCATAGAAAATCAATGTACATACATCACACACAAAGGGTGAACTAGATGGACGCATGTCTCCCCTCAGCCTATGTAACTATGTACAGACTCAGGGCACCATGTGATGGATAGAAATTAATGTGTGTAAAATGTCTATTTACTCTCGTGTAGCAAGATGGCGTCTCCATCCGGAGCTACACACAAAGACAATGATGACATCACACCTTGGAGGAAGTACATCAAGATAAAACTCTTAACACCTAACCAATTAAATGTTGACTTTTACTAATATCTAACCCTTAACCAATTTAAAAGTTTTGCTTTCTGTATTTGCACACATTGCATTCTTTTGCCTTTTTAAAGGGCTGCGTGCCCCCCTGACAATACATTTGAAATAAGTTTTAATTTAACTGAACTTTTCTGTCAGAGTGATTTCTTTTGGCATGCACGCATTACTACATTCTTAAAATATTTGGACAGGACCAGATTAGAGGTGTCGCGAGCCGTCCGCGAACTTCTCGCGATCTGTTCGTGGCGAACTCCGGTCAGCTGACACATCTCGGCCAATCTCCAGCAGACCCTCCCTCCCAGACCCTCCTACTTCCTGGACAGCATCCATGCTGGGAGGGAGGGTCTGCTGGAGATTGGCCGGGATGTGTCAGCTGACCGGAGTTCGCCGCGAACAGTTCGTGGCGAACCGTTTGCGAGAAGTTCGCGGACGGTTCGCGACATCTCTAGACCAGATATTCAAGCAAACACTTGGATTGGTCTAAAACAATTTGGTGCCCAACGTGGGGCTTCTGGGTTCTGTACCGACAACCAACCATCCTAGAAGACTCTGAGGCAGACCTGCAGTAACGGCAGGACGGAGACTGATCACCTTTGATATACGGTGAGAGCTGATGTGAGCACCTTGTGTGACTGGCCTGTCTCCGTGTCGGCTGCCGGAGGGCACCAAAGACAGGTAAATAGCTTGCCTGGAGTCTCTTTGTATTGAACCTGTATATTGACTATCTGCTGTCTGGGTATGAACGTATTTTGTATGAGTGCACCCCCACAATAGCTGTGTGCGGTGTGGCAAGCAGTTTTGCAGGGAAGGGGTTTCTGTAGTGCTCTGTGCGGTGTGGCAAGCGGCAGTACAGAGATTATTGAGTACGGGGACAGGGAAGGGTTAAGGGAAGGGTAAATATGTTTTAACCATATATGCTTTTTGGGTTCTTGTTTGCAATAAATGTAAAGTTGTGTCCTGTTTGTCTCCTTCCTCTTGTATTCTTTTGTTGAGAGAAGTTTTTGGTCACACACTACTCATTAGGCTCCAGTCAGTGGCCACCTCGGGTTGGCGGTCCCAGTGACTAGTCTACGTTTTGGGAAGACGCACGCAGGGTTAACCTCCGTGGCAGTCGAGCACTGTAGACGTTCTCTTTCCTATTTGTCATTCTCTCGTGACATCTTGATTAGAGGATGGTACAGAAGCTAGGGGAACCCAGTAAGGGTTAGTTAGCCTGTGATATAGTGAGGGAGAGGAGGCAGTGGGGAAGGTGAAGAAGATATGTGGTATAAATATGTCTGCCAGTGGCCGGCTACAGCCAGAGGGCTGGCGCAAGTTGTTAAAAGAGAAGAAAGGATTGTTGCAGAACAAGCTAGTGTAGACAGCAGAAGCCTGGTTTAGAGTTGCCAGAGCTATTCACCAAGAAGGGTGGGTGGAAGAGGAGATAGACCTAGGTGGTCAGAGAATGTATGTATATCATGATTCATTGTAATGTTGAAAGTGCATGTCAGCCACCGCCCTATGATGGCACCTGACACAAAGGGAAGGAGGTTGGCCCAACCCCCATGACCTCCTCCCTATTACCAGTAACAACAACCACCGCCCCTTTGACCCCTGTGGGAGGATGGTACACTCTATTCCCCCGCCCCTGTTGCCTCTGCCCCTGTTATGTCTTCCTCTGTCGGGTCTCCCCTTCCCGCCCCTCTTGTCTCCGCCCCTGTTACCTCAGCCCCTGTCATGCCCTCTCTTCCTGCTCCTGTGACTTCACTTCCTGTTCCTGCTTCTGCTCCTGCTATGCCAATTCCTTCTGCCCTTATGCCCGCCCCTGTCATGCCCTTCGTGGAACGTCCCCTAGTCACCACAGATGACCCTCACACGCCCCAGGGGGAGTCCAGGCCCTGCCCACTCCCCTTTAACCTCTATTCCCATCACCTTAATGGCAGCCTACAGGCCTCACACTCTACCGCCAGTTCCCCGAATCCCAGATCCCCCCCTGACGACAGTAGCCTGCTGGGCGGTGGTCCTCCACAACCCCCTGAAGAGAACTCTAAGCCCCGGTTTCTCACGGAAGGGGCCCCCTTAATGTATGTCACGTTCACTCCGTCACAGGCCGCAACTCTGATGGGCTCACTCCCAGACCCAGATAAACAACCTATGCCCTTCTACCGAAGGATTGCCCAAGTCCCAAAGACTTATTCTGCCACATGGCGTGACTTACTTAGCCTCTGTGAATTAAAGGCAGGAGATACGAGGGGGCGGAGCTTGCGGCCAACGAGGGTGGACGCCATCTCAGCCAGCTCCCCGCAATTCGCCTAAAACCCACCGAAAATCGCGGGCATCCTACCCCATAAGGCGACGCAACCCGGCCGACCTACCTCACCGAGCGTTCCTGCATCCGTCGATGCCGTTCTTCCAGCCGCCCAGACAGGCAAAAATAAAACGCAGGTCTGGGGCCTACTGCGCAACGCCAGCCTACAGCCTGGACGACCTACTCACAACCGGCAGAGTGGGACACAGCCTGCAACTCCCAGACACCTCATCCCCACATCAAATGCCAGCAATGGGACGTCGGTCCCAAAAACCACACACAGCGGCAGAGTGCAGGGATATTGGCACCATGCTGCAACGACCGGCGCCGGGCAAAACACCCTCCACAGAGGTACTGCAGCCTACACACATTGAAGCCACGAGGCAGAGTGATGAGGTAGGGATCACACAAGCCCTGCAGACAGATCAGGCCCCATCCCAAGAGCCCTATGATGGCACAGCTCCCACTACCAAAGCTGATTTAAAGGCACTGCTGGCAGACATACACAAGGTCTGGGCTGCAGACCTCCAGCAAATAAAAGCAGACATACAGGCAGTCACAGGCCGAGTAACACAAGCTGAAACAAACATCGGCAGCATTAACTCTGACTTGACCACAATTAAAGACACAGTTACTCAGCTCCAAGTGCACCAATCAGCCTTGTCGCTCAGGCTGACGGCCTTTGAAGACAGACTACGCCGCAACCATGTTAAGATAAGGGGAGTCCCTGCTAACATTAGCGCAGATGAACTACCACACTATGCCAGGCGATTGATGGCGACCATCTTACCTCACCCAGTGACCAGGAAATTAACCATTGAAGGAACATTTCGACTACCAGGCTCACCCACGGCAAAACCAGGCCAAATGCAAGACGTCATACTCCGCTGTGCCACCTCTCAGGATAAGGCCCAGATTATGCTAGCCCTGAAGGGTAAAACACCGCTGTCCTTTGAAGGCGCCTCTCTAACCTTCTATCAGGACCTCACACGAGCCACACTGCAATGGCGCAAATCATTGGCACCGATCACTTCCCAACTCAGAACGGCTAGGGTGACATACAGATGGGGCCCCCCTGGAACGCTGTATGCTACGCATAACGGGACTGTCCACACACTAGAAGCAGGGGCAGATATACCCTCTTTCCTTGCATCACTAGGCATAGCAGGCCAGACCGTAAGAACACAAGACAAACAATCCAAAGCCTGGGACCCAGTGAACACGGCCATATTCACACCGAGAGCCGCCACATCAGGGGAAATGGAGCCTTAGCAGGACTGAACACTAAATACTTAAACGCAACTCGACAAGACAGCCGAACACCCCAACAAAGCCCTACTGTTAAAGTAACTGAAAGAAACTACTCACTCCCCCTCCCATCGTGTATCCAGGTGTTGGAATATAGGCGGGAGAAGTCTGTAATGATGACACTACATCCTGTAGTGGGGGGGTTTAGACAAGAGCCCTTAGACTGTTAACCAATTGTTGAATGTATACTGTATGTTTAAACTGTGACGTATTTTTGCTTTAAGAAGGAGCCCCCACAACGGGGAATAAAGCATTCCTTGGTTTTTCACTGATCAGAAACTTTGTCTCCGGTGTGAATTACTTCTAGGGAAAGCGTGCATGCATTAATTAATCAATTTGGAAGGTGTAGATAGACAAATTATCAAAGTTTTCTTTGATCCAAAACATTTGGCACCCCAGATGGGACTGAAAGGGTTACGTTAATAAGGAAGCCGTAAAATCCCAAGACAGGAGAACAAAGGATTCCCAGAGATTGGAAACGGAGCCTGATCACCTCTGCATATGGTAAATGAGTTACTTACCTATATTTTCCTTTCTTTGGATTTCTCTTATTCTCCGTGCCTTCACATTCGGCTTCCTGTGGTTAACGTCTTCAGATAGGTAATATATATATGCCCGAATGTCCCCTTTTATATAGAACCTGTCACTTGTCTATCTACAGCCTGAGTCCTGAGTGTGAGTTTTATGTGTGAAAGTGTCTGCTTGAGAATCTGTTTTACTACTTGCTTAATACTGTTATATAATGCTGCCAAGTGTGGTTAAGCGCTTGCAGATTTAGCCAAGTTCGGGTTTGGTGGAAAAACCCTGGCTCTATATTTATTTTAGCTAAGCTTCGGTAAAGAAGTTATTGCGAGACTCGGTCAAGAGTTTAAAAGTTTATTTTATTTATTTTAGCTAAGCTTCGGTAAAGAAGCTAGTGAGTGACTCGGTGAAGAGGTTAAAAGTTTATTTTATTTGTTTTAGCTAGGTTTTGGTAAAGAAGCTAGTGAGTGACTTGGTGTAGAGTTACAAAGAAAAGAAAAGGAAAAGTTAATGTTTATGTGCTTGGGTGTTTCTGTGTGTGTGATTTGAGTTATTATAAGCCGGCATTTATTTTAAGAACTTTGTGATTTAATTACATCTGTATTTTGTGCTTTTGTCTGTGTATGTCTTGTTGGGTACCATATATGTTAATTGTAATCTATACAATCTGTATCGTCACTATCCTATTCTATCTTTTGTCTATCCTATTCTATCTTTTAAGGAGAGCTGTGCTTAGGCAATCACATGGTTAAAAAACTTTGTGCTTGCAAGTCTTCCCCCCCCCCCCTTCTTGGTTGCTTTCTCTTGCTCTGACTGCTATGAGTATTGGCTAAAGGGGGGAAGGAGGAATGTAAGGGAAATCTTCCAGCTGCTGGCCATTAGCTGTTTGAAAAAAAAAAAAAAAAGATCAGAAATGTTATGAAACTAGTTTGTACTTACAATGCATTGATTTGTAAACGAGATGCAGGTCAAGAAAATTTAGAATCAGCAGATAAAGAAATACATTTGAATATGTTAACAGAAGACAAATCAGATTTAAATGACCAGTGTAACAAAGTAACAGAGCTGTAAAACTTAATTTTAAAATCCGTTAACAATTAATGAAAATTGTGAAATGTATTTCAGTTTATGACATGTCAGTGGATGCATTTACTAATGCTGAAATATTTGAGTCAAATTTGGACAAATATAGCCTAAATGACGAACAAAGGAATAGACTATTTAAAACATGGCTGCCGACTCAAATGCATATAGACTTATTGGT